CAGGTTCAGGTTCTAGAGGGAGCAGCACAAAGACATCCAAGTTAGCTGCAAACTCACTAATTTTACATTAATAACATAATACATTTTTCTGGCTGCAGGCCGGTTCTCTCTGCAGATACTTTGAGGCTGTGCATATGTATTGCATGTTTTATCCACAAGCATCTTAAGGATAATGGAGATGTGGCTGTAAATAGAAAATAGTTGCTTATATGATATACAGAGGATACACAGATTCATAGTACATTAATAATAACTGAGATTAGGACTCAGAATAGTCAAGAATATTTATTAAAATGGGCCCATGTAACAAAAATGCTGTAAGACTGACAAATGCAAGGCTACACATAGATGAAACAATTGCAGCCCTACACATCTACATCTTGGGAGACTGTATCCTGGAATACAGCAACTACCAACAACACAGGGTTGTTTACTCACCCAGTGAGTCAGCAACCTGGAATGAACCACCATTGTGATGTTGTGGCAAAAATAGCTAATACAGTCCCAAAATATACAAACCAAGAAGTAGTGAAGAGAGAAGGTTATTTTGTCAGGCAAGACTGGCCAAAACTGGCAAAATGCCAAACTGAAGACCTTAAAAAAAATAAAAAGCAAACCACAACACAAAACCCCCAAAACACACCATCAACAAAACCCCAGCCTCAAGGCCATACACGTTGACCTCTGTCTGCAAACTGGGAGGTGATTCCATGATGTTGTATGGTATCTTATGTCTTTTATGTATCTTGTATTGTATGACGCATCTACCAACTTGCTTTTTAATGTCATTACAGAAATAAACTAAGAAGCAAAGACCGGAAATTAAAGCTGAATAAGAAAAAAAGACATGCAGTTTTAGCAGTGAGGTTTGGAACAGTCAGCCAGGGAAATTATGAACTCACCTTCTCTGAAATCCAGTTTGGCTGTCTGTTATGAAGCTTTGCTTTAGAAAATAAAACATTAGGTTAAATGAAGAGATAATTGGCTAAAATGTTATGTAATGTGTTATTGAGGAGATCATGTCAAATGACCTCTTGGCCCTTCTAACCTTTTAAACTATGAATACCCATAGTGAATCAGCATGGTTATTCTTTGGGTAACCTAGGGACAGAAACTTGTCTAACTAGTTCAGTATTCTCCACTTTTATCCAAAGAGTTAAAAAGGACAGAAAACATAGCTCCTTCTCATGGAGATGTCATTGCATGCAGATTAAACATCATCTTCCCTGGAGTGCTATTCAGGTTTTTTTTTTCTTTTCTCTTTATTTAGTGGATTTTCAATGGATATGTCTATTGAGATGCCATCTAGTATTGAACGCATACATAGTTGGACATATAAACTTAAAATAAAGGTAAATTAATTTCTCTGTAACTATGCCTCTGCCTTGGCAGTTCTGCTGTGTATTTAAAATGAAACTTCTATCCTAGAAAATCCTCGTGCCAGATCTGTCTGGCTTTGTGCACTGTTCATTCTGCAAACAGCTTTATTCCTGTGTTTCTCTTGGATTAAAATTTCTGTTGTGCTTGAAGCTTTTCTGTTTTGGTTGTCTTCTTATCTAAAAATACATTCAGGAAAGTGAATGATATTTTAAAGAATTTCATATGTAAATAGAAACAGTAACTTGTAAACTTTCTATAACCTTCTCGGCAAAAAGCTTCACGACTACCCCTGTTAAATCTGCTGTCATCATTCTCTGTCCTCATAAAGTAAATAATATTCACTGTATTGTTATTAAATAAATAAATATATTCCTATTTTTCCCTTCTTCTAGAAAACAGGATGCAAGGCTGTAATTAAGACTGTGGACATTAGAGGCTTTGTTCTAGATATCTGGATTTCTCGGGCCTACCTACCTTGGATGTGGGTAGGGAAGCATCCCAACAAAATAAGTGAGGCACTGCGTAACTTGTACTGTTCATGAGGTAAGAGTGAATATGCTAAAACACAATAAACAGGAACAGTTTAGTTTTGATGAGTAAAAGATGAAGAACAATTTCGCACCATGGACAGTGATCAAGTTGATCTGTTTTATTAAGCTGAGTATTCTCCAGAAATGAGTTTTGTTTTCAGTTGCATAGAACCTTGTTGCTTTTGTTTTATCATTTGCCTTGTAAGACTAGATGTTTCCACACAGTGTGCAGTCATTTGTGTTAAAAATACGTTTTTTCTAACTGTTGTGCTACTGTTTGTATTTCATAGAAATGTGACAATGAATTTGATACAGATGTTGCATTTGCAGCAGTGGAAGTGAACAAGTCAGTCATGGCTGAGGCTGGAACTAAGTAGCTTCAGAGTCATGCAACCACTATACTAATTAAGTAAGATTTTAAACCATTAAATTTGTAGGGCTGCATTTACAACTTACACACCAATATTTATAGAATCTGTCAGTGTTTTATTTTAAGGCATCTGTCCTTCCTAGAAGATTTTGCATGGTTGTAATTATTGCTGCAGTGATTACTCTCAAAGGCATTTGAATATTTTCTCTTTCACTAATAAGTGAAAAATGCATAGGCAGCACTTGTAGCACTCTGGATCACTCAGAAACAGAATCCAGCTGTGGCTATCCACAGAAGAGCTCACTGTTACCGCTGGAAAACATTAATAGAAGGTTAGGTAGGAAAGGAAGGATCAGTTCAACCCCTTTTACTTTCACCCACAGTAACTCCTTGCCTGAGAAATACATTTAAAACTTAAAAGTGTATCTTAAAATATGTGATTCCAGGTTATTAGAAGCTGTTTCATTCTCCTATATTTTTGGTGAAGTCCCTGGCACTTTTAGTTATTTTCAGTTCCTTTTTTTTTTTTTTTTTTTTTCTTAAATAAGATAAAATGCTGCAGAGGTGAAATGTAAAGGCTTGATGTTACCAATCTGTAAATCCAATGTTGAAATTGATTAAACAATTAAAATGGCAGATAAGATTGTTTTCTTTCCAACAATGATGTCTTTTATTTTTCTTCCTTTTAATCAGAGTTGCTAGTTTGAATGTATTAGTTTAGCGATTTCTTTCTGATGACTGCAATAATACCGGTAGTTCCCTACAAAAAGGAGAAAGAAAGAGATTTCTATTTGTGTTTCCAACCTGCAAACCTTTCCTTCTCTATGGGAAACACTTTCACTTCTTCAAGGATTTCATTGTTCCACTTTTGAAAGCCTTTGGGTTTTATAGCATCTCTGTTCATAGCAAGGACAGTATGCGCTTCTGATTTACCTATTTTTTTAATTCTAGTACTTCTCACAAACTGATGGTGGCAGTGATGATTGTAAAAGATGGTATCTGTGATTTATTTTTTTTTAACTTGTAGAAGAGAATCCAGTGCTGTTTGCAGAAGAGTGAGTCAGATAAGAACATGAAACCACAAAACTCCTTTTTCAGTTTTTCAGGTGAGGCCAGGGCTATAGGTAAAGGACAGGGAAGTTGCACTTTTCAGGCATTAAGAGAAAATGGCATATATTTGTTAAAACTTTAAAATATGCCTATATTCTGCTCTCATTCCATAATAAGAAAGATTAAGATGCTTGGATATAGTTCTAACTAAATAGTATTTGTCCACTGCGCTGATGATTTTGCTTCTCCCTCTCTAGGCTTGCATGCTTGTGTTCCAAGCAGAGTTTGAAACAGCATTTGAAGAAGAGCAGCTGGCCAGTGAAATTATTATTTTATTAGATTGCTCGAATTCTATGGCAGGTTCAGCTCCACACCAAGCAAAGCAGATTGCTTTACATGTTTTGGAACTATTTTGTTTCAAAGAGTGAATGTAGTCAAATTTGGCACAAGTGAGTTTCTCTATTCCCTTTTTACCTGAGTGCCACCTTTTACCTTCTTATCATGGCTTAATTTTATGCACATCATTATTATCAAATCAGCATAATACACTGAACTGCACCAGGAACATGTAGCAGTATGGAATACTTCCACTCTGATACAAGTCGTAAAACTTAAACTTGTGTTTCCATATTGTTGCTACATGCTTAATATTTTAATGCTCTTAATATCAATCTTTATTCACAGATTTCATAGAATTTTCTTCTTTTTCAATGAACACAATAAGTGATTTGGCATCACTTAAAGAGTTTATTACAGTAAGCAAATCAGTTTGGTTGTATTCTAAAGAATGATTGTTTGTATCTGATGCTTATCATTGCAAAACTCTGTTACACCACTTTTCCTCTTTTTTCTTTTTCTTTAGACCAGCTTCTAAGATTTTTCTGTAATTTAGTCTATTTGAAGTCAATTTTCCCTAGTAACAAACACATCTGAATATTAATCCATTTGGTTTTAAGCAATTGCTTAAGTTGTTATTTTGAATCTGAGTAGCTATCAGTGTTAGGACATTTTTCAGTATTTCCCTCTAAATTTATCTTTTGGACTTTCATACCTCTCATTGCCTGCTCACAGCAGAAAGGGAGGAAATTACTGACTTCCTTCTAGAAAGCTATAATTTGTAAGTGAAGGCAGCACTTAGGCCAAAGGACTTTCAATGAAAAGGAAAATGCTTTTGGCACTAAAAGGTCACATGTAGACTACTTACTACAGGAGGTTTTGGTTAGTACTGTGTCTTGTCAGTGCCAGAAGTAGGCTTCTCATCTGTAGCTAAAGCTCCTTGATGCTAGTATAATGCGTAAGATACTAATATAATGAGTGTCTTGGAAATGGGATGGTAAGATGTAAATGATGATCAATGCAGAGTAACACAAAGGGGAAAATACTACCTATACCTGTACGATGTCAGGCTTCACCCAGAAAAGAGATGCTGGAGCCATTATGAATAATCCTTTTTAAGTGGTAGCCCAAGGTAAACACTTGGGTAGCTGTATAATTCTGTATTGCTGTGGCACCTTGAATAGTATAGGCACTTCTGGTCCCTCCATCTCAAAGAGAAGATCTAGAGAGACCAAAACCAAAGATGGCCAGATATATGGAAGACCTGCTGTAAAAGGAGAGGATTTGTCCTGATTTTTTTTAGCCTCTGTTGAACCCTTACACAGTAATCTCTTTTCCAGGATAAACAGAGGAAAAGGGGAATAGGGATGGTTACTTGCCGTTTCTCACCAGTTAAGGATAACAGGACATCCAGCAAAATGATCAGACAGCAGATTTAAAACAAAAACCAAACAGTTCTTTTCACACTTAATAAATAGTGGAGCTTCTTGTTGTGTTTCATGTTGAGGCTAAGCTGTAATTCAATTCAGGGTAGCCAAATTAAAAGGTAGAGCTGCAAATAGCTTTTAGATGCAATAGTCTGGATGAAAACTTCAGTTCAAGAAGCCCCCAAACCACTGATTACTGAAACCTCTGAAAATAATGTAGGAGTAGAATTTACCATTTTTCCTATCTATTTTGCCTGTGCCTTTTGCCTAAGACAGAGAAGATACAGGACTAGAAGGACCTTAAGCTCTCTCTTTAATAGTAATTATAGAAGAGCAGGAACAAATAAAATTTAAGAATTAATAATTTATATTTGGAAACCAGGAGTAACCTATAATGAAATAAAGATTAAATTACACATTATATGTTATTTTAGGAAAAAAAAAATAAATTCCAACTAAAATTGTAATACTTTACTTTTCAGTCTGCTACCACAACATCAGGAAACACTGATTTATGGAAGACCTTACATTACTTAAGTCTGCTATTTCCTTCTCAAGGACAATGTAACGTTCTTCTTATATGGGATGGACACCTTCAGATTGAGAGTGACCTTCCAGATTGTGAAAGATAATGTCCAACATACAAGGTTATTTACATGTGGTGTTGGGTAAGTACAAAGTTAGCTAGCAATTGTATTTTGTTTAAAATCACTGATAATTTTTTTTTAAGTAAGAGGTCAATAAGCTGAGAACTGTCAGATGCCCAAGTGTACTGTCTTAAATATATATATCTGTTTAGATTAAATGTAGAAATGTTTATGCACCTTTAATAACAAAACAGAAAATATGTGAGGAATTTCAAATGTCAAATGCCTACAATAACTTTAATTCCACATCCAGGTAGTCTTACCGATTCATATCTTTTCTCATTATAACAACTTTACTATTTAAGAATATAATTGGAAAATACAAGAATTAATGCTTTAAAACTTTGCATTTCATGTTTTAGTATAGTCTGATTTTATAAGTGAAATTTCACTGTAGTGCTATGACACTGTTTAAGGCTGGGCCAGCACTTAAAGCGGGTGGCAGATGCTCTCTATTAACCCCTTCCTTTCCCAGAAGGGGAAGGAGAGGAGAAAAGGGAGAGAGTTGCTTTCAGTTGGCCTGTCCTCTGAAAAAGGTGTAGAATTTAAAAAAATCAATTTCAAAAAGCTTGCAGTGCTAATTAAAAAAATTAGAAATAGTATCAGATTACCAATTTAATTCATTAAAGAATTTTTTGTTGTTGTTATTAGTTCCACAGCAAATCAACACATGCTGAGATCTTTGTCCCAATATGGTGCTGGAGCATTTGAATACATTGACCCAAAATCAAAGTACAACTGGGAGGTAAAGGTACATTTATAAATCTTCAGTATATTCAGTATATAACCAGTCTGATATATCAATATCTGATACTGATATCTTCAGTATCTCAAAATGGGAATTAAGACTTTTCATGGGATCATGTGGCTTTGCTATTACAATAAGATAGTTAAGAAACATTTGATAGAAGGTGGAGGGACATGTGCTTGTCTATTAAGCCTTCTTTTATTTTAAATATAAATGGATACTAAGTGAGAAAGAGAAATATTTAGTCTGAGTATTAGAAGGTTTTTTTTGCAGGAACATGTGCTATAGGAAAGGATATGAGAGCTGTAGTAAACCCTCAGTTCTTTGATAAGGGAGGGAATTTGTCACTGTAGCTGCCCTACCTTCTCATTCAAATTGTCACTGAATGTGTAAAAGAAAACAAGGTGTTGCGAATGAGTGGTTTAGGGTCGCTTAAAGAACCCATCAGAGGTATTACCAGAAACAGTTTTAGTACGAATTTATAAAAGTGTGACTTAACAAAGTTTGATGGCAAGGTTCAGTCTATTACTTACTACATGAAAGGCATATACACAGGAAAAATCAAGTTAGAATTGAGCTAGAATGATTTACACAGAGACCAGAGATAAAAAGGGGCAAGGGAGACCCAAGGTTCAGAGAGGACCCTCTTGCTTTCTAAACTCCTTCAGCAAGGAGTCTAGGTGCAGCTGGATCTACCCCTAGTCCCAGACTTGGTCAACAGTTTATGTCTAAGAGATACCAGGAATGGAGGATTTAGCAGTAGGATTTAGCAGTACTTTACTTAACAGCACTTAACCGTTCACTAATTTACCATTTACAACATAATTCAATAGGATTTACTACGATCGTAACAGTGACTTAAATTGTTATAGAGTATTTGAATTGACTCACACAAGCATGCACATAACCAGAGAGAAAGATGTACAAAGGAATAAATGTATAAAGATAGGTACACTTGTTAGAAAAATTTCCCTTGAGTTCACTGAAATACTTGCTTCAATTGCCTTGGCATTTCTCAACAGGCGAGGATTGAGTCTTGAGGAGTGAAGGATTTTCGTCTCAGGCTTTGTTGTCTGATTTCAGCAATGACCCTCAGAACATCACAGACTTGAGGGTTTGCAAGCTCTGAGAGGTGTCCCACTCCAAGGGAGATGCTGGTTGCAGCCCGCTGCAGTTCAGGAGAGCTTAAAGGATCTCGCTTAGGACTGCTGTTTACAGGTTCGCAAGATGATTGACTTTAGTAATTAGTAAATTTCCATTCTGGCCACAATTTGAGTTGGTAATTGCTGGAATTCTCAAAATTCCAGTAGCGATGATACCGTGTTTTGCTCAAGCTATGATTCAGATAAGGGATGTACCGAGGCCTGTTTTGCTCAGGTTTCCAAGGCCTGTTTTGCTCGAGCTGCGAGGCTGTTTTGCTTGCGCTTCCATTCAGATAAGGGATCTACTGAGACCTGTTTTGCTCAGCCTTCGAAACTGTTTTGCTTGAGCTTCCAGCCTTGGCCAGGCAACAGAAGTTGCTGGTACAATCAGTATTATTCCCACCTTAGCTGTGAAAGAGTTTCCAGTATGGCCAAGGGGCGCTTAACCACCCAACTCGTTACACAAAGGCTACGGCCTGAATTCCTGAGATTGTAGCGAGGCCCAGAGAAAGGCGGGGGAAGGCACCACCACACAAGGAAGCCATGACTTATTTTAATTTTTCTATTCTTTTTGAGAGAACTCCTGTACTTTTCTTGCTAAAAGTGCAGTATCACCAACATAGAAGAAGTTTAAGAAGTATCAAACTATATAAATAATTGTCCCTGAATGGAAAAACATGGCTTTACTTCTGTCATGGGTCACAGTCCATCTACAACATTGTCCTTGCTATAGTGATGAGGCCAGTAGCAATTGTATTCTGTAACTTTTGACTGTTGATGCATCTAGAAGTTTCAGACAATCTAGGACTCTATGTGTGGTGCTTTTCAGTCTCCCCGTATAGTTATGTGTCTACAGCACTATCCTATGCCTTGAACCCGGTCCCTCCTGGAACAGTGACACTAGAGAAGGTGCTGCAAGAAGGCTGGTACCTGGCGTATTTTTTCCTGGGGGAACGGATGAGAGCACAGGTTTCTCTTCTTGCTATTTAGGCTGTCATTTGAGTGATATACGCAGAACTATCCAGAGCAGGCCATGGAGATGTGCAGAACTGTTCGCGTATCTCGGAGTTCACACGTAGGAGATGGTGCTAAGTGTAGCAGGCCATATTCCCTAGCTTGTTTGGCAACCCTGATGAACAGAAACTTTACTCTCAAATTTCAACTCTCACTTAAAAGAAGTATCATTATTCCAGAAGCCAATGCAATAATGGCTGAGTGATCCTCCTTATTACCTCCAAACATCAGACTCATTTTTACCAGTAATAGTATGTGGCTTGTTTTAGTTGTTAAAAAAAGAAATTAGTTCCATTGACATGGGAAATATGTTATTTTCTATTGAGAGATTAAGTTTTCCTTTGAAAGCCTGCTAACAAACAGAGTTAATTTGTTTTGCTTCTTTACATAGATACAGAGACAGGTATTTAGAATATTTTCTCCAGGATGCCGTTCAATTTCTATTAAATGGCAACAGTTTAATACAGGTGCAGCAGAGCCAATGCAGGCTCCTGCTCAAATACAGTGCTCCAGCCCTCTGATCATCTTTGTGGCCCTCCTCTGGACTCTCTCCAACAGGTCCAAGGCCTTCTTGTGCTGAGGACCCCAGAGCTGAAGGCAGTACTGCAGGGGGGTCTCACCAGAGCGGAGCAGAGGGGCAGAATCTCCTCCCTCGACCTGCTGGTCACGCTGCTTTGGATGCAGGCCAGGACACAGTTGGCTTTCTGAGCTGCAAGCGCACATTGCTGGGTCATGGTGAGCTTCTCCTCAACCAACACCCCTAAGTCCTTCTCCTCAGGGATGCTCTCGATCCATTCTCCGCCCAGCCTGCATTTGTGCTTAAGATTGCCTAAACCCATGTGCAGGGCCTTGCACTTGGCTGTGTTGAACTTCATGAGGTTCACATGGGCCCACCTCTCAAGC